TACACATTCTAAGATAAACAGGACAGAGAGTGAGGGCAGCAGGTATCTAATGGATGGAAACAAAGTAAAAAGGACAATGGATTCTATTACTGAATAAAGGAAATAAGGGGCAGAGTAAATTAGAAATGAAAAATTATGAATAATCAAGATTAAGCGTTTTCTTAAAAGATTAATACAATCGACAAATGGGAGTATTATTTGAAAATTTACAAAAACATAGAATTTAGAACAATCAGTAAATTCAAAAACTATTTTGAAGTCATTAGGGATATATACAAACCGTATAAGTAGACTATCACAGCTTTATTTTCCTTTCCTACAAAAATCTATCCTAAAGGCTTGAAATTGCAATTCTCACTTGTTAGTAGATGCCAGTACCTCCAAACAGATGAGGTGGATATTTATGCAGGTGACAGAAAGAATGAGACTACGGAGCAGTGAGGATATTAGAAGAAATTTGTTAGATAAAAATGAAGGCTGGCACATCTACAATCTTACCCTCTTGCCTAATATAGACCCTTACAAAGAAATTTATACTTCTCCCAACTCCGTTCTGCATTCTAAGATCACTAAAACATCCTTGTCATTTGTAAAATATTTGTTTTGATATATGGGGACTTCAAAGTTAGATATTTTCTCTTTGCCCCATACACTTTAATATTAAAGAAGTATATGCTAATATTTATTCATTGGTAATTGTATTCAAAATGGCAACCACACCCACGTGTTTAGATTCTCCTGCAGGCAGAAAAGGCCCAGGGAACTTTATTTCCATCTCTATTCTTAGATTTAAAGGAAAATTACGATCAATGCCACTTGAAGATTCTTTGTAGAGATATTTTCCATGTAAATTTGAAACTGTAAATAAAATTGAACTAAGTCAATAAAAAACTGAGAATTCAAAAAAAAAAAATCCAGACACTTACCAAAGTACTGTAAAAACAAAAGCACCTGCTTTTGTTTGGTTTACAGGATAACTTTCTCCAACCTTTAAATGTATCCAGAGTTCCCACCAACACAGTGAATTAGCACTATCTGCTGTTTCCCTCCACCAAAACCAGTTCTGAAGGACCTATGTACAAAAACATATGTAGAGAGAAAGGCAGCAGAGGTCAGGGATGAAGATTCAGACTTTCTGGGTTCAAATCCTAGCTCTGCCAATTATTAGCTGTGTGGTTTGGGGCATTTACTTGACCTCTCTCTACTTAAGCAAAATAGCGATCACAAAAAACCTACCTCACAGGGTTTTTGTGAGAATTAAATGAGGTAATATTTGTAAAGCATTTAAAATGCTACATGACACAAGGTAAACCTATTGTACTAGAGTTTGCTAGATAAACATGGAAAGAAATGCCCCAGAATCCAGGGACCCCGGTTTGAGGGGTTGGGGTGTGGAGGTGGGCCTGTGAGAAGCCCCTTGGGGCAATGGATGCTAGTTGGTAAGTGGCCAGCACAAAGGCATGAGAATAATTAGAGAAAGGTGACCTTCTTGCCTCTCACTTCTCTGTGGAAATTGATGGAAACGGTTCAGGCCTCCCACGCAGGTGTGTTGTAGGTAGAAACAGGTGTATTGTAGGTAAAGTCAGGACAGCACAAACTGGCTCCCAACCGTGGGATGAAGGTTGGAGGGAAACAGGTGGGGATAGCTAGCCTCAGGAGAAACAAACAGAAAGGGAAATGGGCTGTGACAGAAGTGACCTCTTGGGAAACTAAAATCACAGAGCTCTTTGCCCTTCCCCAATAGCACCCTTGCATTTTACAGACCTTGTGCAAGGAAGACATTTTTTTCATTTCTTCCCTCTCTAAATTATAAACTTCCCAGGGTAATGGCAATTCTACCCTTGCCAGGGTAATGGCAATTTTAATTCTGCTTTTTAGCTCCTAGATTAAGGACAATTATTTACTGTGTTGGTCAGTCACACGATCACTTGCAGAGCTTGTTTCTCAATTCTACAGTTCCAAAAACTCGGGAAGACCCGGCCTTCAGTGCCCCGGGATCTGTCCAAAGGGCAGTGGGCCCTGCGGGCGTCCAGGGCTGGGCGTCCCGTTGCGCCCCCGCAGAAACCCGGGCGGCTGTACGGGGGCTCTTCCTGCTTTCCACGCAGAGCAGATGCACAGGTCAAGCCCGCCCGCAGTCCCTTCCACTCACCCCCACGCCCTGCCGCCCAGCCCTCCACAGTCCGCCTTTTAGGGACTTTGCTGAGCAAACTAGCTGGGCCTCCCGGCAAGGAGAGAAACGCAAGGATGCGGCCCCGGGTCGCGGCGGCTCTCTTCTGCTACCCCCGCCCGGGTCTCCGCCCCGTGGGGGTTCGGGCCAGTCTAGACCCTGAGGCTGGGGAGAAGCGGGAACTCTGCGAACTCGGAAAAAAGAGCTGGGATCCCCCTCTTACCTTTCCACTCAAGCGCGTCAGAGGTCCCCGCCGCGTTTCCCTGGAGGCGCTGGCGTCCGGTCCTTGTATACCAGCGGCTGGCGCCGACGCCGCGGGTGCACTGACCAATCGGAGTGTCTAATAAAGCCCGGGAAACTTTTCCGCCTTTTGAAAGGAAGCGCCAACCTCGTGACCGCCTTCTGGAGGAGGGGACGGTTCCCAGTTCCCTTTTGCTTCCCGCCTCCTGCCTCCTTCCCGCCTTTCCCGGTCTCCTCGCTCCTCCCTGCCATCTGTCTGTCTAAATTACAGTAAAAGTAGCAATAAAGATTATTCAGAAGATGAAAAGAGCTTCCCCAGGCTCACGCAGCCGTCCTGCTCCTGCGCTCCCGGCGCAGCCCGCCGGGTCCTTTCTCGAAGCCACCCTCCCTCACCGTCCCCTCCCTGGCGCCTGCTGTCCCTCCTGCCCGGGACCCTTCAGGGGGGTCCGGCCGAACTCTCACCCAAGCGTTCCCCTTCTAACCCGCTCCAACTGCCCCAGATCCCAAGCTGGGGTTCTGTCCCCACCGCCCCAGAAAGTGGGTCTTGGAGACGGAGCCAAGAATTTGAGCCTCCGCTTTTGTCCCGGATCCCCCACCACCATAATGCAGGTGCGCGGACCAGACCGCGATCGGTCTGTGGCAGGGTTCCTCCCAGCTGGGCGGCCGAGGCGGGGCTGCTCTGTGCCCGCTGTAGAGTGAGATTTGGCGGCGACCTTGGGCTGTGCTCGGGTCAACCCTGGTCACCGTCAGACTGCTTGTGCGCTGAGAAAACCAACCTGCTTTCTGATTGCCCTGTCACAGACCTTTCGCACACTGCCAAGTTTCTGTCTGAGTATTTGGATTTCGTAACTCCCCGTGCTTGGCTGAGCGCTCAGTGGGCCGGCGTCCGCAGCGTCCCTGCCTGTAGGCCCGGTTCCCGCTGGCGAGGAGTAGCCCAAGGGCAGGAGCTGATTTACGCGATTAATTCCCGGTAGTCAACCAGGCTCCAGTGGAAGTGAAAGTGAGAAAATAAAATGTCTTGCTGTACTCCCCCTCAGAGATTACTGCTGACCACTCTTCAAGTCTTATTGTATATATCTTTCCAGATCATGTGTATATGTATGCATACATATATTCTATATATGTATATAATTTATTACATATTCTATGTATATGTAACATATTTTTATAAAAATGAGATCATAATGCACATACTGTTTCATAACCTCCTTTTTTTCAATGACCTCCACCTTTCCATTTCAGTAAATCTTCATGTCATCCTATTTAAGTTTCTCCACTTTTCTCTAAAATGTTGTTTGCAGATTGTTTATACAAATCTGTATCTAAACCAAAACCATCTATAAAGCCTGAAAGGAAAAGACTGTCAATCTAGAATTCTATAACCATCCAAAAAAAAAAAAAAGTCCTCCCAAATGGAGGCAAAATAATGACATTTTCAGACAAAAATCTTAGAGAATTTGTCACCAGGAAGTCTGTCTTACACAAAAATGTTAAGGAAGTTCTCTTTAGGTTGAAGGAAAAGGATACCAGAATTGAACTCAGACCTACGTAAAAGAATGAAGACACTAAAGATAGTAAATATGAAGATAAATATAAAACATACTCTTTCACACTGTTTCATTTTTAAAATGATCGTTTAGGCCAAGTGTGGTGGTAACTCCAGCACTTTGGGAGGCCTAGGCAGAGGATCACCTGAGGTCAGGAGTCGGAGACCAGCCTGAGCAACATAGTGAGACCCCAACTCAACAAAAAATAAAAAATGTAGCCAGGCGTGGTGGTGCACACCTGTAGTCCCAACTACTTGGGAGAATGAGGAGGGAGGATCTCTTGAGCCCAAGAATTGGAGGCTGCAGTGAGCTATGATCATGCCACTGCCCTCTAGCCTGGGCAACAGAGTGAGACCCCAATCTCAAAAAAAAAAAAAAGATTGTTTAAAGAAAAAATAACTATGTATTGTGGTGCGTATGGCATGATGTAGAAATAAAAATTGTGATAATTACAGCATAAGGGATAGAAGGAAAAAATAGGCATATATCATTTTAAGGTTCTTTTATTATGCATCAAGTCATGTAATATTATTTAATTGTGATAAGTTAAAGATACATATTGTAATTCCTAGAGCTACCGCTAAAAAAAATTGGAACAAAAATGCATAGAAAACAAGCCAATAAAGGAGTTTTTCTTGTGCCTCTTATTTTCTTTCTGTTTTTACAAAAATTTTATTTACTTGTTTTTGCTTTACAAACATACAGTTGACTTTTTAAACCTATTTTTCACCAACTTTGCTAAACTTTGTAGTTAATTTTCAAAAGTGAGCTATATATTCTTTTAGTTACTCTAAGAATGCAATAATATCAAATGTGCATAATGACAGTTTTATTTATTCTTTTCTAATCTACATACTTTTCTCTTATTCCCTTTCTTGTATGGTTGCATTGGCCAAGACTTCCAGCACAATGTTAAATGAAAGAACTGATACCCAAAGACACAACCTAACAGTACTAAATTCCTATCTTTGGGGATCTGTTTCCTGGGATCACTCTAGAGAATAATTTCTATACTAGTCAAGGTACTGTCAGAAGACCAGTTATTTTGAAGAGAGAGATTTTAAAATAGAGAACTATGCCCTAGGTATACAGACTTTTAAATTAGATAATGGAAAAGGCAGAGAGGTAACACCAAGGTATTATGGAGGTAACTACAGCCAAGAGCCACTACCCCTAGGGCTGGAGGAACAAATGGAAGGGTCTTTGAGGGAACATAAGGCAGCTGCTAGGAGTGTCGGGGGAAAAAATTAAGAAAAGATCTGAAAGGTGTTTATGGGAAAGTTTATAAAACTTTATTGAAAGATGATAAATAAATACATTAAGTCATATACCATGTCTGTGGATTGGAAGACTCAATATATGAAAGACATCAATTCTCCTCAAATTGATTGGTAGATCTATTGAGATTCATTTTTAAATCCCAATAGTATTTTCATGGAACTTGACAGACTAATTATAAATTTATATGTAAGAGCTAAGACATTTCTGAAAAGGAAAAATAAGGTATGGACAGATATCAAATTTTATCATAAAGGAATAGTAATTGGACAAATAGTGCAACAATGGAATAAAATATAGAGCCTATATCTGACTCACTTATTTATGGAAAACCTATGACAGAGTTGGCATCGCAGATCAATGGGGAAAGGAGAGATTTTTTATACATTGTGCTGAGATTATGTCTTGTCCCTGTAAAAATCAAAATTAATTTGCATCCCTCACTCCAAAATCAGTTCTGGTAGAAGAAAAATATAAATGCCAAAGGCAAAATCAGTAAACTTTTAAAGATAATATAGGGAAGTATTTTTTAAAGACAAAATCATGATATTCCCACTATGCCATGGGTGTTAACCTTTCCCTTAGACATAGGTGGAAAATGATTAAGGTCACAATGATATGACCAATATATCCAGGACCTGACCAGTTATGTGGGAACCTTTCTTAAGTTCAGATTCCATAAGTTAAATAAAATGTATCTTTGCAAATGAGGTTACTCACTTTCTCTTTTATT